CCCCCCCCCCCCCCCCCCTCCCCCCCCGCGGCCCCCCCGGCCATCCCCACCCAAGGGCCGCGCAAGAGGAGCCGGGCTGAAGGCGAAAGCGGCGCGTTGGACGGCCCCTCCGAGCACGGCTCTTCGGGGGAAGAGCGGAGCGGGGCATCTCTGCCGGAGAACCAGAGTCACTCCCGCTACTAACGTGTGAAGCCCGCGCTACGGAGAGAGCTGCCTAGGCTGACCTCAGTTGGTCAGGAACGGCCCAAACCGACAGACTTATGTGGAAGTCAGTTCGGTCACGATCCGTGGGGTCACGCGGTTGAGTGGGTTTGGAGTTTCCCCAGCTAATTATGCAGTGACCAGGCAGCAGTTGGCTTACAGCAGGTTGGGCGAGGCGGGAGGATAGGATTGCAGCCTCCGATAATCGGACGTTAGAGCGGCCAGCTCTGGCTGTAGAAATCCGACAAGAGTTACGTGGCAAAAAGAGTTTTCTGTGCGTTTGCTGCGTTAAGCCAGACGTGGTAGATCCAGTGAGGCGAAAGCTCTTCTTCATGGGGAGCGAAGGCCCGCTCCGGAGCGTGGCAGTGGCAATAAGGTGAACTGTTAAGCAGCCGCCGAAGAATGCAGCCACACTGACAAGTGCTGTCCCATATCCCTAAGAATCGTGTACATGTCGCCATCCAACAAATGCTGGTGTCATTAATTGACTTAGCTTAGCAATGCTAATTTGAATCTGTTATTGGCAATTATTATTACGAAAAGTCACCCTGCTTGTTTCCGTTTACTGTACATTTCAGCTTGAACAACTAATCTGTAGTTTGTATCATTTAATCCTAAAGTTTATTTTTTCCCATGCCAATCAATTAGAATCTTTATCTCCAAAAATTTTACACATACGGTGTTTTTAAATAAGGCACACCACTGGTTATTTTGCAATTGATGAGCACAGTCTCTATCAAATGTTTGGAACTGGGTAATTTCGAGTGAGTGAATAGGAAACAAACGGAAATGGCTTCATGTGACCCTAACGACTAGTGAACTTGCTAGCATTTAAGACATTTTGTTATTTTTGCTGTAATAGACAAAATGCTGTAGTAAAACAATGCTCATTTAGCCAGAATTGGTAATTTCTTCTAATTATTTTGGGGATGAAAAATTATTTAAAATATTGCTATCCCACCTCAAAATGATAATCTTAAAAGTTTTTATATAGTAGTTATATCCTCTCACATTGGCTTTTTTCTTGATAGTGTAGTATTTTAGACATGGGGGTTTATTTGTTTCTCATATATTCAGACAACTAGTTGATTGTGGACAATTAAAAAAACAATTACAATGTAAGAATAGTGGGATATAAATTATTTTTAAACAGATACATCAACAAACTTCTGTATTTATTTATAGAATAATTGTTTAGTTTGCCAATCTGTCTTTTATTTTTCTATACTATATATTGGTTCGTTCTATCTTTCTTTTTGTCCAGTTGTTAACAACTACCATTACTACTACCTCTTCCCCTTCTCCTCCTCCTCCCTGGCTCCCTCTCTCTGTTCCTTTAGAGTTCTATTTCCTTTTCTCATAATGAAGTGGCTGGTTATCTCTTTACGGACTTGCATTGTACCAGAATAAACTATGTAGCCTGAAAGTAAACTACAACTAAATACACATTGAGTCAAGTTGCAATTCTGTTTGGATGTGTATACAAGTCTCACTTTTTATTGTAGGAGTTGGAATTTACCACTTTTCATACTCACAACCTATACTAAATGAATGGAAATATAGTTTTGAAACGACAGAAATAAAGAGTTCCACTCTGTTCTACCTTCAGCATGGTGTCCAGTTCTGGATACCACACTTTAAGGATTCAGACAAACCAAAAGAGATGGAAAGGTGGGCAGTAAGGATAATCAGAGGATTAGAAACTAAGTTTTATGAGGATATGACTGTACAGCTTTGCGAAATGCTTATTAGTGGGCATTGGATAGCACTCTCCTAGTATCTAAGGGGTGTCACACAGAAGAGTATCATAACTGCTTTTCTTGTTGCAGGGTGCAGGACATAGAATAATGGTCTTAATATACAGGCAAGCAGATTCCAATTGAATGTTAGCAGAAATTTTCTAGTGGTATGAGAAGTTCCATGGCAATTCCTGAGGAGGAGGTGGGCTCCCTTTCACTAGATATGTTCAGGAAGAGGCTGGATAGACATTAGTCTGGGTATCTTTCATCTGGAGGATGGAGTTGAGGGCCTACGTGTCCCTTTCCAAATCTATATTGTATCCCTTAATTTTTTGTGTCATACATACAGGACTTAAACAGCTGAAGCCACAATTATTTCACTTTGTCCCTTAAACTAACAATGACAATCACTCTTCAAAGTTTTATTTCAAAATGAAATTCAAAAGCAGCAGATGACTATGATATGGATTCAAAAACTTTGGTGTTTTGTATTTTTGCTTATTCTTGTGGTTTACTTTTTTCTACAGATGGTTGTTAATTTGAGTCCACCCATAGGAAAGCCGAAAAGCAAGCACATTCTGTAATATAATAAAAAAATCTAGTGAAAGATCAAACCTAAGTGTTAGTCTTACAACTATCTCATCTACCCAAAGTATAATCCACATATTAACAATGAAAATTAGCTAAAATTGATATTTCTGTTTTACTGGGACTTTTGTATAATTTTATGTTTCAGTTGGAAAGAAAAATGTTAGCTATTTTTAACCTACCAATTAATGCATTTCTCCACATTATTATAATGGTAAATGTGCTAAATTTTGTTAAATGATCTTTCACTCTAGGCAATTACCTTTCTCGTACCTGTTTTGCACAGAACAGCTTAACCCATAGCCAAATATTATGCTCTGATCATAAATAACTGTAAGTATTTATATAGTGTTAATGAGACATTTTAAAGTTATGCAAGAACTTGCCATTTAAAATTCAACACAAAGAAAATAGGGGACAGGGAGAAACAAAAAATGTGGTTGTTTCAGTGTCACTAGCTGAGGTTTATATACAGTATGGCATGAGAATTTAGGGCCTATCCCAAGGGTTTAAAGAAAAGGTTGGCTCTGAAATAGAAAATAAAAGAGGGATCATAGTGGCAGTTCCAAGAAGCAGTTTTGAACATATAGGATAACAAAAACATAGTCTGAGAGAACAAGCACCTGTCAATGGAGGATAGTGGAAGTAGAGGAACAGAGTTTGTGGACAGGGATGCATCCAGATACAAGTGAAGAGATGAGGGAGATGGCCATGGAAGAGTTTGAAGGTAAGGAAAGACATCTGTGTGAGATCTTGAAGGACACTAGAAACTATTGTAGTTGCCTAAGGAGGGCATACTGGGATCAGAGAACCAAGAAAGGTAACCAATTTTGTCAGCAAAACTTTGGATAAATATGAGAGCTCAAAACAAGGAAACAGTAGAAGAAAGAAATTTGAAGTAGATGACACAAACAATACCTTTTGTTTAGGAGAGAGATAAGAAGGACTGCATTTTTGTTATGCTGTAAAGGCAAAGGTACACAATTTCAGGCCCTAGATTGCATATGGTCCCTGAAGGCTTTGGGGTACAGCTGCCCAAACCTCTAGTAGTTACTGCAAAATTGCATTTTTAAATGGGATGGAAGAAATTATTAAATACATGGGGAATAATCATTAATCACATAGTAATTAATTTAAATTACAATAACATGTAAATTAAATTAATCCAATTTAGATCTCATCCCAGATTCATCTATTCTTTTTCACACTACCTACTTTTTGAGTACAGCCTCTGTTGTGCCACTGATAAGACAAAGGTGCCCTTGGCCTGGAAAAGGTTGCACACTGCTGTTGTAAAGGGAGTTGTGACACAATTTGGTTGCAGAGAGCCTACAGAGAACAAATGGGATGGAGGAGTCAAAGATTAGGGCAATACTATATTCCCCTATAGTGGTAAGATGTTGAAGAATTCTCACCCTCAGCTATGGGTTATCAACTGAATAGTAAACATCTTCAGTTGTTATGGCTTTTTAAAAATATATGGCAGTCTACTACTGCCACAATCTTCCATATTAAATAATCTACTCATGGTTAAAGCCACTTTTTATTCTTGCTAATATTCTAAAACAAATCATTCCATTCCATTCCTTTTCTTTTTCCTTTATCCCCTGTCATTTCTTCTACAATGCAAAGTTTACCTCATCAACTGAGGATGAAGCAAAACCAGAAGCAACCATGTTGACTCAATGGGGTCCAGTCTGTGGATTTCATATTCAGAACTGGTCAAAGCTCAGAGCTAACCAAATCAAAACATAGGAAGAAATTCCATATTTATGTTACCTTTCTGCAAAAAAAGTTGATTGTTTTTTAAATAACATTTCAGAAAGGCCAGCATTGTTGCTTGGATTATGTATCTTGAAACAATTTGTCAGAGCAATGATGGTTCTTCCAAAGGCATTTCTGGGTTTATTTCTGAAGGTTTTCTTTCTTGAGCATCCTTATTTGAACCCTGTAGAGCAGCTGCACCAGCTACAGATAAACAGACAATATGAACAGCATAAGCAAGGGATTTTACACAGCCTTTCCTTTCTGTGCTGGTCAGGATCTTTCACCAGAAGGAGCATTACTTGTTCCTAGTTCCCAAGCTTCCAGCATCAGCCTATGGTTGCATGCTTACCTGGCTATGTGCACATTGGTGCAGTATCTCCCCTGTTGTAATAACCAATTACAATGATGTATTCTGGCAAATATTTTGTTGCTGGTCATAAATCAGGTAGAGGCACAAAATTGTACTCACCGAGCAAGGAATTTTCTTTCAGTGGGTTATTCTCCTGTTTCTTCTGAAATAAAATATAAAGGAAAATGTTATGTGTCTCTTGTATTTCTTCTGTCCATAGGAAAACATAACCAATCTTCAACAAAGTAGGACCTGACAGAAGGAACAAGCAATGCATGTTCCAGCATCACATCAATTTTGTCTAATAACTGCTGTGTATCTATCATTGCATAAATTACTAGGTATAATTTACAGAGGACTAACATCCATCAATTATTTTGTATAATGTACAGGGGAGTAATGTCCATACCTCCACAGATGTCTTCCACTGTAGGTAGATCTCCTTTGATGTTGCCCAGTCAAGAGGAACTACGTAATCATCTGGCAATAAAGTATCTACAAAACAAGATAACACAAAGTGTTTTCAATCTACACATAAGTTTTAAAGTTTACATTAAATAGCTGTGACAGTCATTTGATTGCAGGTGGCACAAGTCTGAAAGTGTGTTATTTAATTATGATGCTAGAATTAATGACACAAATTTAATGTGCAAGATAACAGAGCTACTCAAGCTTGATTCACACTTGCACATATCACTTTATTATTTTTAGATTTTTTTTAATCCCACCTTTATTATTTTTATAATAACTCTAAGCGGCAAACATACCTAATACTCCTTCCT